CCCCGCCACCGCGGCTCCCCGCCCTTTCGGGGGGACAGGGTGCGCCCGGCGGAGGGGTCCCGGGGTCCGACGGGGGCAACGGACACCCCCTCAATGGGCACCTGGGGATGAAAGGAGGCGCTGCCTCAGGAGCGGCAGGACAAAACAGCTCTGAAAAGTGAGCGGGAATGGAAATGAATCGCTACGGTGCTCTCCAGACTGGCGTCTGCTGGCTGGGACGAGGCAGCGGAGGAGAAACTGCCAACAGGAACAGCACAGCAGCGCAGCTGCTTAGTTGAAGCTGCCCCTGGACGCTGGAAGGGCAGGGGAGGTGTCAGGACTTCCTAGTCCAGGCTCCAGCTCGCAGTGTCTGAACTCCTTGGTGAAAGCAGGTTCAGCTCTTAGAAGGTGGCTGCGCTGAACTCCAGGCTTGGAGGAGCTTTTCAAAGCTGAGAGTTTCCCTTTCTAAAATTAACGAGAAAAGGCGAGGGTTGAGCTGATGCTTCGGACTGCCTCTCACCTGGCCCTTGTTAGCCCCAAAGCAAATAAAGAATTGATTAGGGAACCAAAATATTTTCTGGAGAGTTTTCTAGTGTCATTCCCAGGAAAAACTGGAGAAGTGAACGCTCCCCCCCCCCGCCCAGACACGGGACCACGAACCGCTCATGGTACGTGTTGCGATGGGAGGCAAAGGCATGCAAGGTCTCGACAGCTGAGGGCATGGCTTGCTGATCAGGTCGTTTTGATTTAGGTGGGGATGACAGAGGAGGCACCTGTTGGGCAGAGAGATTTCCAAGGCAAAGGCCCCGTCCGTTTGCATTTTCTTCAGAGGCTCACTTTGCTCCTCCCTCCCATGTGCCAGAAAAAGGAATTTGGTCCTTGGTGACTCAGTCCAGCTCTGAAGGGACTCTCTGTCCTTCCCAGTTGTGGGTACCAGTAATCAAGTGCTGAGCTCGGAAAGGGAACAAACCACTCCACGTAATGGCCTGCAGCGTGTGAGAAATCATCGCTGTTGGGGAATCCTTGCCGTGACTGGTGGAGTGTCTGGCCCATGGAGAAACCTCAAGGAGAATCCAAGGCAGCCACTGGCAAAGGTGAGAGCTGCATAGAGAAGGATAATCAGGACGCTTTGTCCCATATTCCTGCATTGAGATGATAGAGAGGGCCTGATCTCTAATTGCAACAGAAAGAGGTCCCAGCCTTGTTTTTTTTCTAGGCTTCTGAGACTGCTTGACGGTACTGAGTTTTGGTGTAAAGGCAGTATAAGGGCATACCAGGCTTTCTCCGAGCATGACATGTGCCTGGTCCAGGCCCCTCAAGTGTCTGCTTAGAAAGGATGGGATGAATCCCACGTAGCGTCATACAGATGCGAGCAGGTGGATATTGCCTACAGGCAGATGCAACCAGTTGATGCAGATGTACCTGGTAGGTTATTTGTTGTAGTAAATAGCTTGGGTGTTAAGGTGACACGAGGCTTTTTCCAGAATGTGTTTTGTTTTTATCAGGCCCTCTACAAAGCGTAGTTAGCTTGTCCTCTTCCCATCAGCTCCCTTTACGCAGTGCGCTAACGTGAAACGACGAGCTTGTCTCTCTTCCTTCTCCACATCAGAGCCAAGAGCGCTGAGATCTGCAGTGACACGTGCACCCTCACCCGTGGTTGCAGAGCTGCTGCCTGGAATGAGGCTGTTCCCCTGCTCTGTGAAAGTAAGTCTGGAAGGTTGCATTTCCACGTTTCGGGGTAGTGGAGCACATAAAACTAGCTGCTGTCCAAGCCTGGCTGTCAGGGTGTGCACAAGGTTTGACCATCATACTTTCCACTGATCTTCTCTTATCTCGCCTCCAGTGTCTGAACATGTTGCAATATTGTCATGTCTCTTTTTTGCTGCCCTTATTGGGCTTATCAGACCATGAAGACCAATTACTGGTTTTAGTCACTTAATCGTTTTATGAGAATTGGACCACTTAACTACTCCTGGGACAGATCACTGTACGTATTCATGGTGACTTTCAAATACAGGTGAGCACAGCGTGACTTCTGCTCACCTCTGGAATCAGTCCCACACTCCAAGTGATAACAGACAAACGGAGGGAGGTATTAGAATATTATCACTGGCATAAATCATTCCCATGAGAAAGGTGTGCAGGGATTGTTAAAAGCAGGATTGTCCCCTGCTAGACATGATTTACCTTTTTTGTAATGTGTTGAGATCTTTCAATGAGAAGGACTAGCAGTGTTATAACGTTTCAGGAACTCTGGTTGAAAAGACATGTTACAAGTAGTGCTGGCTTTCTAAGTATGTCATATGCATCTAACAAGGCTAATGCCGGAGAAGCAGTGGGCTGAAAATCAGAAGTAAACACTTTTCACACAGACTCTCTAGTGCTTTAATAAGTAGATGAGTTCTTCAAGGGTTATTTCAACACTGAAGGGCAGCTTGGGAGGTATATCAACTACAAAAGAACAGAGCAGAAGGATTTGCTGCTTTATATGTAGTTCCAAAACACACAGCTGAGAGAAATCATTTGGAGCCTGTATGAATCTGAAATCAAATCAGATTTAATGTGCTACCAAAAAATGCACATGGAAGAATTTGTTTTGGACTTCTCCCTCAAATTTCAGCTGTGAATATGCATCTTTGAAAGTATTCAACCTGGTTCCTCACTGAAAACTGAGAAACAGAAACGTCTGATTTGGGTTTTGACATCACAGACTAGACCAACAAAAAAGGAAGACAAAAAAAATAGCAGAAGGGAGGGACTCATATGGAAGAACATTGCAGAAAATAAAATCTCTTCCAAGTGCTTTGGGGAAAAATGGACATGTGCAATAGGAAATAGATTTATCAGATACTGTAGAGTATTTGCCAGCTTTAAAGTGGGATTTTTCCTTCTACTGTTTTACATGTTCAGAAATTGGTGACTATTTAATAATTAATAGACTATTATCACTGCAATTATAATAGTTATTGTAACTGTAAGTTCCTCAAGGCAGGACCCATACCTTTATTAAGACTCTTTCAAGTCACAAACATTTTATAAATAATAGGCAGCATCAATGATTTGATTACTGCATTCCCCACGTCTGCCTCCATAAATTCAAGGGGTTTCTGTTAGCTTGACAAGGCAAAACTGCCTACAAAGAGAAACACTTGCTGCTTAACTGCATACAGGGACCAAACCACGGGCAGCACAGGCTGCCAAGGCTGCACTGACCATCGTTTGCTGCTGGGGCTATTGCAGGACTAGATCTCCCATGTTCAGCTGCAGCCTGGGACTTCTCTCATCCTTCCAGGGAAAAAAAGTGAATTTGGAGGTTGTAGCACCTGTAACTACAGGAAGAGCTTGAATACAATTTATTTCAGTTTTGATGTGAAGAGCGGGAGAAAAGGATCGAAATAATTATGTGTTTTCTTCAATTTCAGTTTTAGTTTTAAAGCCACGCACCTGAATCAAACGATGCATCTTCCAGTGTCGGTGCCTGCTGGCTGAATGCCTAGGGGACTGGAACGAGATAGGACTAAGCTGTGAAGCAAAACCTTTACTCACAGCTACATGTTACCTATCACCTGTAGATAAAAGACCTCAGGGTTTGGGGTGGACCTATTATAGAAATGTGTAAGAAAATTAGTTGCAAAGGCTGCCACATTCATTTAAAAACTTCAGGTGTTTTGCTGGATAACAGCATTTTTGATTGAGGGACCGATTCACAAATGGATTTTTCTCCATCAGAAAAGAGGAGGGGGCAACCATGAGAAAGGCGTCTCCATCCCTATCAGCCAGATTTGGATATTAAAAGTAGAACAAAACAAAATCTCTTGAAAAGATCAGTAGGAAGGAGTTTTAAGAGAGACCAATACGCTCTGGTCTTACGGTTCTTACTAGGACGGGGGGTCGGGCAGCCTCCCCCGAGGGCCCGGTGCCCTGCCCGGCTGCGGGTAGATCAGAGATCAGTAGGAAGGAGTTTTAAGAGAGACCAATACGCTCTGGTCTTACGCTAGGACGGGACGGCGCCGGGCTGTCAGGCGGGAGCGGTCGCCGGGGTGGCAGGGCCCTGGCGGCAACACCCCCCACTCCGCCTCCTTCAGAGCCCCGGAGTTAAGCGGGCACCCACCTCCCCCCCCTCGGCATCGAGGCAAAGCGCTAAAAATACAGAAGTAACCCAAAAGGCTAACAGGCACAGTAAGACCCGTGAGCCTTTATGGGTCTCGGGCTGTAATCCCACACCCTCTATTTT